GTAGTCTCACCGCAGAAGCGAGGGGCGTTAAGTCAACGGAAGAGCCACTCTTTTAGCGGGAGGAACCCTCAGATTGAAGACCCCTTGGCTTTAAGAGGCAAGGAGCGGGAATGACCCCTAGGGCTTCATTTGAAAATTGGGGGTGCCCTTCCCAGAGAACCTGCTCCCCTTTTTTAGTTGTGGGGGGCGGCGGTCCAGCAGCTCTCCGGCTTTTTTCCAAGGTCTCGTAATACGCAACTACCTGCCTCTCTGTTTTGGGTGCGCCGGGTAGTGTGGATTCCCACTCGAGACTCCGAATGTCCCGGGGCGGTTTCCCCGCTTTGATGCTTTGTGTGCCGCGGAAAAGAGGCCCCGGGATTCTTAGTACACGTATTCCGGGCAACACCCTTGACAGAGGTTGTCATTAAGACCCAAAGGTGGAATGAATTTAAAAAGAGAACAATGAAGTGTCCCCTTGACAAAGGGATCAGATAGAAAATAAAGAAGGAAGCCAAGTTTCCTTCCTTATGTTCTACCTTCTTTATGTTCTACAATCTAGACAGATAGTCTACTCTGCCGCCCAGAGTAGACTATCTGTCTAGATGGGCGGGGTATAAATTTAATAAAATAAAATAAAATAAAATAAAGATTAATACGGAAGCTAAACAGGAAATCACATAAGCCTTAAAAACAGGCAAGCAGGCATTCAAACAAAGGGTGCCAATTTTGGGGGAAGGGCTGGTGCACTTGGGCGGGAGGTGGGTTCCCAGAAGGAGTGACCTGTACAGATTTAGGAAGGGGACACCAGCTCATACCGCTGGCCAGCTCCCACAAAAGTACCAGGATTGAGAAAACGCCTTGAGAATTGAGTCTGGGGGCGCGGGGGGGCATCTCTCTCTCTCTCTCTCTCTCTCGCCCTGTTCGAGGTATCCAGGATCGGGGGCATAGATCCCCCCTTGGCTGTGAGTTGTAGCTGGTGGTGAAGAGAAGGGCTTTCTGCCAGCGGATTTCCGATCCTTTGCCAGGGCTGTCCGGATAAATATGGACGCCTTTCTGATTCCTGCAAAATACAGTATATAATGCAGCAGGTTTTTTTTTTTCCTCTGTGTCTCTAGGACGGACAAAAATAAACCAGCTCAGAAGGGAATTGATTTCATTAATCTTAATATTCCACCAAGCATATGGCTCACGATCTGTACATGAAAAACGTTACAGGCGTTCTTTAAGCTATCGGAGAAAGACGACCTCCGGTCGCTTAACGTTTAGCATGTAGGCGCACTTGGGAAAAATCCACGAATTAGCTCTTTGAGGTCCCTTTTCTCGCAGTACGAGAGGAAAGCGCCTCCTTTACTGGAAGGAAGGGCAGAGGGAGACAGGGAGAAAGGTGACAAAAATATGTGACTCTAGGTGTGTGGCCTCACTGTTATTTTATCCACCGATACATATTAGGAATCTGAAATAGCTTTGAGAAATTAGTAGCCTAAAGAGATAACATCTTCTCTGTAAATCCTGCACCTCCGATGGAGTTGGGAGTTACTCTGAAAATAAGCCCCGGATCTTGGATTTGCAAGGGGACAGATCTTTATGGAATCAAACGAGGACCTCCACCCAGGAAAAGCGGTGTGAGATGATGGTTTTTCGGTGTAGCTTCCACTCCTTCTGCTTGTTTGGTTTTTTCCTTCTAAAAAGAGGCGCTTGTTTTGTACCTGGAGGTTTTCCCTGGTGAATAAAATCCAGTCCTCGCTTAACCCAGTTTCTAGAAGCCTCTTCCTTTTCCTCCAATCTTTCGGTTAAAAAAATGGTTTGTCTTTTTGCTTTCAATTTTCGCACAAATGTCAAGGAGTGAGCTGGAGGGGGCGGAGGTGGGGGAGCTGAGAGATGTTCGCTAATGAGAACAGAAAAAAAACTTTAGGAGTCGAACCGACTTCTAAAGGGCATTTTAAAAAAAAAGAACAAGCAACCCAAATTGTGGGGGTATGTGTGTGTGTGTGTGGGGGGGTGTTTGTGAGTGTGCCAAATGGTTAGGCTTATTTTTGCTTCTGGCGGTCGCTCCAAAGAGTGTTTCCTCTGCCAGCCTCTCAAAACCGCCTCAATTTATCTCCTTGTTCACAGTTTAAAAGAAAGACTCTTCGGAAACGAAAGTGGAAAATTGCCCTCCCTTCCTTCTTTTTCACTGGACCCAATCCAGTTTTTTAAAAAATCCTTGTGGAGTTCCCTCTCCCGACCGCTACCTCCGGAAAAGAAACGGGAGCCTGGGAAGGCCCTGCTCATTTCATTTTTATTTTATTTTTTAAATTGTTTGTTTATAATATTTTTCCTGGGAGCTGGCACAGGCGAATTTCTCGATCGGAACCTGTTTCTCTCGCTGGATCTCATCTCGGGCTGGCTTTCCACCCCGTTCCATCCCAGCGACGCCAAGAAGGAAGGGGGGAAAAGCCCCGCGGGCCCTTGGTTTCAGTAGGAACGAAAATCTATGCCCGGGTTCGGAGGCCTTTGAAGCTCACCGGTGCCGCCCGGGTGTGCCAAGCCACAGACTCACAGGCGGCTGAAGAAACGGAGGCGGATTTCCAAGGAAGTTGGCAGGGGCGAGGGGTGCATTTGGGGTCGCTGGCGATGTTTCCGAAACCCTAGCCCCCTGCTTCCTCGCCTCCCGTCTCGCCTCTTCCCTTTCGTTCTCTGCTCGACATTCGCAAAACCCGGGAGACACGCACGCCCGTGGGTTGTTTTTGCCCCGGAGAAAAGCCCCAGGCCCGGCCATAAATTCCGCCACGGGGCCCGGTGGAGCAGCGGCCGGGTCTCAACCCCACTCGAGGTCTTGCGAGCAATTGTAGGCCCCTTGATTTCGGGCTGCTGGGAGCAGCAACGGCCGAAAGCCGGCGACAGGCCTTCCTGCCTCTCCGGCAGCTCCGGGCAGATCGGCCGAGCGGCCCTCCCAGGCCTTGCCCAGAGCGGGGAAAACCCCCAGTCCCCCGAGGAGCTGCCGAAGGAAAGGCTTGAGGGAACGCCGACAGAGGACTGCTACTCGAGAGCAAGAACCTTTACGTTTCTTTCCCAGTAAAGAAGCGCAGCATTTCGCGGGGAAATGGTGACTAGGAAATAAACCCTCCACCGGCCTGCCAAGTCTTTTCCGGGCGGCGAGGAAGAGGCAGCGGAGAGCAGGTGCCCCAAACCGGCTTCTCTTAGTGTGAGTGGGTCCCTTTGAAAGCCCCTGGGCCTCTAAATCCTAAAAACTGCGTGATGCCCTTTATTTGACCAGCGGCTAACTCTGGCTGGCTGAGAAAGAAGTGGAACGGAAGAAATAAGAGTGTCAATGCCGTTACACCTCCGGAACTACAGTAATCTCAAATAATGTGTTAGAAGGCTCTGAACGTTAGGTGAAGTCTTCTTCGTGGTGTTTCCTTTTACGCGTGAAACCGGGTTACGGAAGCTCTGTCCGGAAGCGGTGAGACTATGGAATTGCTCTCCGGATCCCCTCCGGACCCGTTTAGTCCCCTAGCCACAGCCCTGAAAATAAATCACTCCCAGTACAAGGAAGGGGATGAAGAGGGGCTTCCTGACAGAGTTACTCCTCGGCCTGCCATTCAAGAACAGCAGCTCCGAAAATACAGGCGAGGAGAGCCCTTCCCTCCCCTCGCCTTCAATTCGGTTCAGTAAAGATGGCTCGCGTTGCTGGACCATCAACGAGAAGAGGAAGATCGTTCCCAAACGATGGGAGACCAAAGCGTGCGTGGCTTGGGGGGGGGGAGAGAAAAAGATCCCTCTCCACCAAGTGATAAACGCGCGATCCAATCAGCTCTTCTCCCCAATGAACCCGCCTCACCTACAGGATCCTCCTTGCTGAGCTTTTTGGAAACCATTATTTTTGGAAAGCCTGTTTGGAAACGTAAAAGGCACCGCCTGATTCTCCGTTTCTCTTCCTCCAGACAGAATGCTGCAGGATCACGCCCGCCCTTCCTTTTCCCTTTCAACCGCGCTGCTCATCAGGGTAACCAACGTTTCCTTCAGGAAGCGGCAAAACAGAAGGGCACCTTCCGAAGCGGGCGAGATGTTTTCATAAGCCCCTTCGAGCATCACAAGTAAGCACCCGCAGCACCCTTTACCTCGCCATCTCCACCTTTCCTTCTCTCTCGCTCTCTCTCTCTTGGGGGGCCTCTTGGGCTGTCGGGCTCACTGGTTCCCTTCTGCTAAGCCAGACCCTGGAGTCGCCGCCGCCGCCGCCAGCCTCCCCGACCCTGGTAAAGGAGCCCTCGCTTCCACTGGGTTCCCGAAACTGACACAAGGAGCCGAAATTGACGAGCCTGAGGGGCCCGAAATTGACAGCCAGCATGGCTTGAAATTTAAGAGCCCGAATAAACCCGGCACACACCCTTCTCTTGCTCCCCTCTCCACGCGCACACGCACACAGCCGCGCAACTCGGAACCAGGCGCGCCCGGAGAGGCCGATGGTTCTTTGGGCTGTTCTGGCTCTTGCAGCTACCAGTGTGACGACATAGCCACTCTTCCCCTTCAGAATTAGTCTCGGAATTGCTTGCCTGGGCGGGTATTTTGCCCCTGCATCTAAAAGGGGTGGGTTGTTTATTTATTTATTTTGGTGAAACGCGGAGGCGCACGCAGAGCGGCCGGGGGAAGAGTGTGAGCGGAGCCGAGGAGCGCTTCTTTGTCTGTCGATGAATGGCAAGGGACTCGCCAGCAGGAAATTACGTGTGTGGCCGCCAGTCAATTTAAAATTGCTGCATTACTGCCACTGTTTGTCTTGCTCCGCATCTCTGTTCCCTCCCTCCCTCGCTCGCCAAAGAGGTTGCGGAGGGACCGAAAAGCATCCATGCCACAGCACGTCTTTCTTACAAACAGGAGCCGGGAAAAGAGAGAGAGAAGGCGGGGGTGGGTAAAGAGGGGCGGAGAAGAAATTATGGGCTGTCTTCCTGGCTTTCCCCTCCCTCCTCCTCCTCCATCGGGTTGGCTCCCTCCCACCTCTCCACCCCCACCCGCTCCTAAATTCTACCCATCCATCCATCCATCCATCCATGTTGCCAAAGACGCATCGATCTGCCGCCCGCCGAACGTCCAACCTGGAAGGATGTGAAAGGGAAGGAGGGAAAGCGAGAGGGAGGGAGGTGGGAAGGCAGGCAGGCAGGCAGGCGAGAGGGAGGCGGGCTTGGCCAGCCGCGCTCTGCTATCTCGCGTCTGGTCTTTTTTTTTCCTCCCCTTTGCTCATCAGAGAGAGACGCACAGCGATAGAAAGAAAGAGCGCGAGGCAGAAGCGCAGAGAAGGAATGGAAAGGGCAGGGAGCACAACCAGCCTGCTGAAGTCTCCCCCGGGCCGCCGGGGAGCCGGAGCAGAATAGATGGGGTGGGAAAGATCAGGAGCCCGGATGCGGACGGAGAAAGTTTTTGACTTTTTGGCCGCTTCATCGCTATCCTCAAGGAAAGGATTTTAGGGGAATCTCTCTCTGTGAGTGTGTAGTACCTGCATCCTCTTCTTTGGGCGAAAAAAAAATAATCTAGTGAAGGCAGAGGTGGGCTTTGGACGCTTCCGGGAGGGACCATGCCTCCTGCTTTGCTGCCCGCTGGGATCACCTCGCGGGGCTTCCCGGTCCCCGATTGCTGACCCCCATTTGTGGGGAACGCATCAGGGGGAGCAGAGAGAGAAGGAGGGCGAAGGGGAAGAAAGTGGAGGGGGAAGCGTGTGGATGTTCCATCCCTCTGGGGTGCCCCCAGGCATGAGCGATGGGGGGAGCGATGCTGGCAGGCGCCCCCTCCTCCTGGGTGATCTCGGTGGCCCCCCGGATCGAGTCCGAGACAAGGAGCCCCGCGGGGTGCTGGACAGCGCAAAGTTGCGCGCCGAGGCTGCAGGCAGTGGAGGCGGCGGCGGCGGAGGGCTCAAGGATCTGGCGGCAGGAACGTCGGCCACCAGCCCCGGCTCCTCCAAGGAGTGCGCCCCGGAAACGGACAGCCAAACCTCGGCCGGCGAAGCGGATTACTGCCGCCGGATTCTGGTGCGAGGTAAGGGCTGAGAACATCCGCGTGCCTGCTACCCCGAAAAACCCAGGGCAGCTGCTCTCCTGCTCCTTCTGTTGCACCGAAGGTGGGAGGTGGGAGGTCCGGCTTTTCACCGACACCCCGAGCTGGCCTTCCTCCCCACCCCCGCTTGCTTCTGCATCTCCAGTCTGTGGGGCTTCCTTCCGCCATCGCTCGTCCCTGACCAGCTCGCTCGCCCCCAAAAGCAAACCAGTCCCCTCTCTGCCGCCTCTTTCTCTCCTTCACTCCCTCCCCCACTTCCTCCAAGTAGACCCACCCGCACCCCGTGGCTTATTCCGGGTCTCGGATTTGGCAGGAGCTGGTGGGAAGCCACATCAACGTCCCCCTTTGCCCAATTCCCTCCAGATGTGGCTTTTCACTCACCCCTCTCCCCCTCCGCCAAATCAGAGTGTTGCTCCTTGAGCCCCTAGCCTCCCCTTTCTGACTTGCCCCCCAACAAAAACGCACACGTTCAGCCCCCCCTTGTGCCCCAGATGGCCCCTCGTTGTCATGTCCCCCTTCCCCCCTATGCCTGCCTCTTGTCAAGCGGGAGCAGCCGGCGTGGGGTGCTGGTGGTCGCGAGGGGGACAGAATGAGGAGATTTGCGCTTTAGGCATCTTTCGGGGAGGAGGGGGCCATTCAGATGTATGTCTGATCCCAGATGTTTCTCCCGGGGTGTTACTGGAGAGAAGGACCAGCCTCGCCAACTGCTCATGGAAAGGGGTTTTTGGCCGGTCGCCAGAGGAGGAGAGGAAGGGGGGGTGTTTAATGGTGTTGTCCTCGTCTTTTCCCCTCCTGCCCCGTTGTTGTGGTTCCCCCCCTCTCTTTTTTTTTTTTGAGGGCAACGTGTGTGCGCGTGCGTGAGCGTGCGTGCTGCTGTACTAATAATAATTCCAGGTGGCTGCCCTAGCTTGCAAACAGTTGTCGCAGGGAAATAGCGTCACAGCAGCATCACCGAGTCAAAAAGCTATTTTCTCTCTCTCTCTCTCTCGCCCTGGCGTTCCCTCCGTTGCTAAACCTCCTGGCCGTAGCCTGGCGAGTGTGCCGTGGAGAGCCAGGGTGGCCGCTCCTGCCCCTGGGAGCCCCCGGCAGGGGCTTTGTGCGAGAGGCAGGGCGAGGGAGGGAGCGGCCAGGAGCGGGTCCCTCGCTTCCCACCCCCGGGGAGAGAAAGGTGGACCGGGTGGTGGAGTTGCCGCTCGCTCCCCAGGAAACGGAGGGCGCAGGTCCGCGGGGGGGGGGTCCTTCCCACTCCAACAGATCCAACCCAACCAGCAACCCAACCCAACCCAACCCAACCCGCGGCGTCTGGTGCCAGAGAGAGAGAGAGAGATTCCAGCGGGAGCTTCCAATTCACTTGCCACTTTTCCCTCTCCTTTCTTTCATCTCCCGTTATGTCTCCCTCTCCACCTCCCTCTCTTGTCTCTCGCCACCAAGATCCCCGTAAGCACCTTCTGAGGATGACAGACTGGGTCGGGCCTGGCCGTCCCCTGGCTCGGAGGCGCAGGGAAAACACCGCTAAAGGAACGGACCCGGAGCAGGGCAGCCTTTTCCGAAGTGAATCCGCTGGCTTCGGAAGGGCCACCGCGCTGGGTGTTGTGAGACCCAGAGAGCGGACGAGGGAGAAGCACCAGAGCAGGCGGGCGGGCGGCCGAGGAGGGGGACGTGGAGAGGGAAAGCACAGGGAAACCCAGGCGTCGATCTCAAAGGGGTGTCCCTTGGTTCGGTTTCCGTTTACACGGAAGGGGTCGGTGGCAGTAGATTCCTAGGGGCTCGCCCGCAGCAGAAAGGCAGCGCAGAGGGAAAGCAGAGGGAAATAGGCCTAGCTGGGGACGCGGAAATACATAACTGGGAAAACTGGATCACCGCCACTACCACCTGGTGTTTTGCTTAGGCCCGGCCTTCTCCTCCTCCTGCTTCTGCTCCCGGCGGCACCCTCCCCGCCGCCTGTCCGCCATCGAAGTGGCGTTGCTGGTGCCACCGTTGCAGGGCCCGGAGGTCTGCGCGCCTGTCACCCTGCGGCATCTCATGTTGGGTCTGTGCCATTGGTGCTTCCGGATCTCTCTTCCCCCCCCCTTCATTTCCGAGTGCGTCTCTCTCTCTCTCTCTCTCTCTCTCTCTCTCTCTCGTCGGAAGATTGGGGCCTAAGAGATAGACAGACAGCCCGAAGGTCTGGCTAGCCTTGAGGGGCTCCATTTTAAGACGCGAGGATGGCGGCTTTGGGGCTGGGTTTGGTTTTGGAAGCCCAGCTTTTGTCTTCCGAGCGTCGGCGGCGCATATTTTGGATCCCAGGGCAACGCTGTCCTTGGGGATCGGCAGCCAGTCTGGATCCCAGAAACCGCCTCTTCCTCCCTGGGTTTCCTCTCGGATCTGGGCGCCCGAGAGCGGCCTTCCTTCCCGTCCTTCGCCGCCGCCGCCCCGCCGTTGGAGAGGCGGAGGCCCCTTGGGGTGCTGGGAGCGGGGAGTGCCTTCTGTGGTCCGATCCGGACTCCTTCCGGGCTTGAGTCCTTGCACGCCTAGTAAAGGCGCCCCAAGGCGGCCGGGGGGGGGGCTGCGCTGCGCCGGCCCTGCCCGCGTCTTTCCCCGAAGGAGAAGGGATGGAAGGCGGCCGGCCGGGTGGCTGAGAAACGCTCCCCGTTGGTTTGGCAGGCCGAGCCCCTCCGGCCAGGCCAGGCCTCTTGGGCCGCCCCGCTTGGGTTGTGCTCGGGTCGGGTCTGCGGCCTCCTCCAGAGACACCGGCTGGCTTCCCCGGCGCCACACACCCAGGCCTAGCCCCGCATTTTGCGTGAGATTCTTTGCAGCGGAAGCTCCAAATATTGGAGAGCAAAGCCTGCGGTTGGGGGGGGGGGGGAAGAAATCCTTCTCTCAAAAATTTAGTTTTGCTCTATTTATTATTTTTATTATTTATATGTTTATTTTCTTGGCCACAGCGGGTGTGGAAAGAGCCGACCGACCATCGCCCACCGCCCTTCGGCCTGGGTTTCCTCTCAAGCCCGCTCCCACCGTCCATTTTGCTTTATCTCCCCCCCCCCAGTTCGGAATCTCTTCCACCCTATTTTCGATGGACACCAAAAAAAGGGGGGAGGGAGCACAGGTTGAATCTCGTTCGTTTGGAAGGGCGGAATGTCGGAGGCAGGAGAGAGGCGGTGCGGGCGGGAGACCGCAGGGAGGCTGGCCTGCGAAAGACCGACCGACAGAGCGACAGACAGAAACCGCAGCCCTCTCTACCCTAGGGCATGGGCGACGAGAAAGAGAGAGAGAGAGAAAGAGAGAGATCTGAATTTGCCGGCCATCCTTTCTGTCTGTCCCCAAAGCGCAAGCCGCGAAGCGCTGGCTCGGTGGAAGGGCGCCGGAGCTCAGGGTGGCTCCTCTTGGCCTTGGTCGCTCCCTGATTCAAGATGGCTCCCTCCGCGCCCTGCCGTCGAAGGATCTCCCAGTTTTCCCCACTGGCCTTCTCTGTCCTGGCAAAAGGCCCCGGTCCCTTGTGTTTCCCAAGAACTGGGCGGCTGAGCCACGAAAGCGCCTGGCGCACCGAAAGAAACAGACACACCGCTGTGAGTGCCATCCTGCTTTTGGTTTCGTTATTGTTTTGGTTCTGTTACACGTATTTGTGTTGATTTGCCGGTGGATGGATAGATAGATAGATAGATAGATAGATAGATAGATAGATAGATAGATAGATAGATAGATAGATAGATAGATAGATAGATAGATAGATAGATAACAGTAATACTGTGCCTATAAATCCGAGATGTTCATAGATGTGCAAACTCCCTATTTACACGTGTCCGGCTTTCAGCTGTATTCACGCTTCTTCGCCTTCTGGGCCCTGACCGGCGGGGAAGGGTTGTGTGAAACCCCCATTGCCCGAGGGCGACGGTATCAAAGGCCGTGGAGGCCACAGCCCAAAAAACATGGATCGGGAAGCCAGTTTCCAGAACAACTTGCTTTCCGTAGGCCTGAAATCTGGGTAGTTTGAGGCAATGGACCCGTTCTGGATCCAGAGAATGCTCCACCACCAGATGGGCGCAGGATCTGATGTGGGGGCAAAGCTTTTGAGACGTGTGGACGTTCTGTGGATATCAGCGAGGAAAGCGTAAAGCGTAGGGAAACCTGCCTTGCTTTATAAACTGTAGGACGTACAGTTCCGTCCTCCTGCAATAGTCACATCGCTCCACGTTGTCGATCCCTACCTACCTGATGCTGAATTGTCACCCGCTGCCTGTGTGTGGTTCCACACAGAGAGACCAGGTCTGCAGGACTGATGCAATGAGATTAAACCCGTTTGCTTGCAAGACATGGGCCTTCTGTGGAAAGGAAAGCAAGCTAAAGGCTCTAAACAAATACGCATTGGGAGCCGAGATTGAGGTTAGATGAGTCTCCACCTACCTAAGAGTAACCTCCCTGGAACTCCGTGGGACTGAACTCTGAGGGGACGTGTATGGGTTTGGCCCGCTATACAAGCGCTCTGATCACACACACCCCACCATAAGGGTAACGGGCCCCGTTGCAGCAGGTGCTCGCCTCGGGCCTCTCGTTGCCGGGCCCTGGCGAGGAACTCCAGGATTGATGTGGGACCCCCACCACCCCAGTCAGGCCTCGGAACCTTTGCACGGGAGCAAGAGGGTGGAAATCTGTTCAAAGGGCCTCGTTGCCCGCTCTTCGTTGTCGCCTTCCGCCGGGGCAGGATAGGCCTCTTCTGTCAAGGGCCAGCGGCGCAACCCAACCTCTTAGCGCCCCGATCTTTTTATGTGAGCCTTCCTTTCATCCTCTGGGTCTGCTGGTTCCCACCCCCGTCCCTAGAAACGCATAAGCCCCCTTCCAAGCTTCCTCTTTCGACGCGATCTTGATCGCACCACGGCCGGAGCTTCGCCTTCCTTGCAAAGGCCCTTCTTTCGGTCGCGAAAAGCGAAATGTGTCCTTTTAAAATCCGACTTTACTCGCATGATTCATTTTGATTTCGGCAGACCTGTAATTCTGCGGTGTGC